TAAGCCAGTAATGGTCGATAAGATGTTATCCGACATTTCCACGTACCATACGTCAGATGTTACTCCTCAGGCTACTGGAGAACCGCGGAAATCTGTGATATCAAACCACAAGGCCGTCAATTAGTGCATGGATGCTGCTGTATGTCAACCAGGCGGCAAAAAGTATGAAAGACAAAGGCACATAAAATACTGAGGGAAATTACATGTTGGAACATGTAGCAAATTTAGTAACAGAATTTTACATAGATGCAATGAAAACGTTGCATGGCTCATCACATCAAATCATCCACATTGGCTGCTCCCAAGACAACGTTACAGAAGCCTTTGAGCATCTTTGTACTGCAGGTTATTTCAAAACTCAAGACTCGGTCACAAAATATTGAAGGATGCGAAGATTTCAACCTGTCCTTCCAGTACACTGCGCTGAATACTGAATCATTCGGAATAGTTTTGTAATCTAAAAACTATGCCTTGTAGTACTGTAACGCACGTACATGTAGGTGTTCCAGCCAGCTTCTTTGGTGCACAGGCAAGGAAGACTTAGGGGCTTAAAAATACAATCGGAAGTGTTGAAACCCAATAACACCATTAGAGAAACATTTTAAGATGTCACGATTCCACCATATCCTTCCAATGCCCCTACGTTGGTTATTTTTGAATCTGTAGACGTCGATAATCTAAAAATCATGCCTTACAGTACTGTAACACACGTATGTGTTCCATCAAGACACTCTGGCGCTCAGGCGAGAGAAATTTGGCGGTTTTGAAATACGATCGGAAGTGTTGAAACCCCAGAACACCATTAGAGAAATCTTCTGAGATGTCAAGACTCCGCCATATCCTTTTACTGCTTTACTTCTGTATCTCAAAATCATGTCTTGCAGTACTGTAACACAACGTACGTACATACAAGTAATTGTTCCTGCAAGTCACTTTGATCGGAGTTGCTGAAACCCCTTAACACCATTAGAAAAACGTTCTGAGATGTCAGGATTCCGCCATATCCTTTCACTGCCTTACTATTTATCTCAAAATCATGTCTTGCAGTACTGTAACACAACGTACGTACATACAAGTAATTGTTCCTGCAAGTCACTTTGATCGGAGTTGCTGAAACCCCTTAACACCATTATAGAAAAACGTTCTGAGATGTCAGGATTCCGCCATATCCTTTTACTGCTTTACTTCTGTAATCTAAAAATCATGCCTTGCAGTACCGTAACACAAGTGCATACAAGTAATTGTTCTAGCAAGACACAGGCGAAGAAACTGGATGGTTTTGTAATACAACCTAGAGTGTTACAGAAACCTTCTGAGATCTCAAGATTGCATCTTTTCCGTCCACTACCCTACGCTGAATTGTTCGAAACAAGTACTTTTTTCTTAAATGTGCAAACCTCTCTAATCCAAAAATTGTGTCTTGCAGTACTTTACCGCAGGTTATTGTTCCGACAAGACACTCTGGCGCTCAGGCTAAGGAAACTCCGCAGTTTTTAAAATACGGCCGGGAGTGCTCACAGCGGTTGTGTGCCATTACCTCGCCTTGGCTTCCGGCGCTCCGTGATGTGATTTCCTTCGCGTAACGGCGAGATCAGGTGCGGAGTGATGAAAGGCAGCCCATTCCCGCACGAAGTCATGCTTTCTCACCCTATTCTTATTTAATGGAGGCCGCGAGAATGGTGGATGTGATGGGAGTAATGCGTTACGTGTGGGATTTCTCCTTGGTGCTGAAACGCTGGGAGTTGTTGTTTCTGAGAAGGAGTGCCACTAAGTACATTTTACGGACAGATGGTAAAGGTTTTTCCAAATGTAATGTTGCAGCGCTAGTAAATATTGCGGAAGAAAATTATAAAAGACTGCAAAAAAGGAATTTTTACGCAAGCTTTAAGAGTGCTTAATGAGCGGGATTCTTGAAGTGGAAACTTTCGTTACTGAATCGTAGGTCTTTGTGCGAAGATCGTAGAAAACATACAGTAAAGATGCAACAAACAGAAAATTTACATATTGTACTAAATCAAAAAGAAAGTTAAACAACCGGAATATCACAGGAAAGGAACGTAGGAAGTAGGAATTGTGTTACTTCCTACGGACAAACAGAGCTACATTCTCGTGTACATGTCTTTTCATGATGGCCAAGACTGCAGGTGGGTACGTTGTGATATTTACAGAAGAGTTTGCTTGACAGTTAGAGAAGTTAAATACTGATTTTAAAGTTATTAAGACTGACACACTAGCTATTGGCGATGGTTTTAATCTTGGACACGATTATACTTCACCCAAGCGACAACTTTACTTTGCAAAAAAAAAAAAAGGCCACTGCATTGTTCACCACCTCATTCCACGGAACACTGATTTCCACCGCATCCATTCTTCATACAATCTACGCAAAGACTAACATACTACTTACATGTAGCAATGGCTTCAAGCCTGGACAAGATTATACTTCACCCAAAGTACAAATCTACATTGAAATAAAAAATGGCTACTGCAGTGTTCACCATCACCCTCCACTGAACACATATTTCCACTGCAACCATTCTTCATACAATCTACTCAAAGATATCCTCCCGGTGACTTTTAATGCTGATTCCAAAGTTTTTAAGACTAACATACTAACTAGCAATGGCTTCAAGCCTGGACAAGATTATACTTCACCAAAGCTAAAAATATACTTTGAAACCAAAAAATGGCTGCTTCATTGTTCACCACCTCCCTCCACTAAACACTTATTTCCACCGCAGCAAAGTTTTTAAGACAACATACTACCTACATGTAGCAATGGCTTCAAGCCTGGACAAGATTATACTTCACCCAAGCTAAAAATATACTTTGAAATTAAAAATGGCTGCCTCATTGTTCACCACCTGAACACTTATTTCCGCCGCGGCCATTCTTCATACAATCTATCTAAAAACGGCCTCCCAGTGGCTTTTAATGCTGATTTCAAAGTTTTTAAGACAACATACTACCTACATGTTGCAATGGCTTCAATTAAAAATGGCTGCTGCATTGTTCACCACCTGAACACTTATTTCCACCGAAGCCATCCTTCATACAATCAACTCTAAACACGGCCTCCTGGTGGCTTTTAATGCTGATTTCAAAGTTTTTAAGACAACATACTACCTACATGTAGCAATGGCTTCAAGCCTGGACAAGATTATACTTCACCCAAGCTACAGATTTACTTTGAAATCAGAAATGGCTTCTGCATTGTTCAACACCTCCCTCTACTGAACACTCATTTCAACCGCAGCCATTCTTCATACAATCTAATGAAAGACGGCCTCCCAACTTTTCATGCTGATTTCAAAGTTTTTAAGACAACATACTACCTACATGTAGCAAAGGCCTCAAGCTTGGACAAGAATATACTTCACCCAAGCTAAAGATATACTTTGAAATCAAAAATGGCTGCCTCATTGTTCACCACCTGAACACTTATTTCCACCGAAACCATCCTTCATACAATCTATATAAAAACGGCCTCCTGGTGGCTTTTACACCGCAGGAGTCCGCCTGGAGAAACCGCCGCGGCTGTGAGCGTGGTCCGGAACAACATCAATCTCAGAATCAATCATCGAGCGATGAAATATTTAACAGGACAAGTGCACGTTGATATGGATACATGGCCGACACACACACCGTTCAACAGTCGCGGTTTTCACAGGAAGAGCTCAATACAATACTTTTTATTCACATTATTTGGCAGTCAGTGTTGGCTGAATTGTACAAGTGTTACATAATAAAAACTTGAAAGAAATACAAATTTAAAAGTACGGCATTGACGATTAAAATTAAACAGATTTTCATAGGTCGGTCCATTTAAAAACAGAGGCGGACTATTTACAGGTCTTGATTACTGAAGCTTATTGCCTGGAAGAGGAATGATTATCTCAGTCTTTTATTTCGAGCGATGAAATATTTAACAGGACAAGTGCACGTTGATATGGATACATGGTCGACACACACACCGTTCAACTGTCGCGGTTTTCACGCGGGATGAACTCGCGTAGAGGCGCCTCCATTCGTCAGAGAGTGAACAATTGGCCACGTACCGAGTCCGATGCCGTCTGTACATGTATCTTCCCGTATCTCAAGGCCTTTCGATTATTTCTTCTATGCGTAGATATTGTGTTACGAGGAAGCGTCATATAAGAGGTAAACGGCGAAAATAATCTCCCAAACAAAAACGAAGAAATGTTGCCATCATTGAAAACAATACAACGTTCTCCACTCACTATATTGCATACACTGTGATTTGGTTTTATATCTAGGTGTATCCCGTATCTCAAGGCCTTTCGATTATTTCTTTTATGCGTAGATATTGTGTTACAAGGAATCGTCATATAAGAGGAAAACGACACAAAGCATAATCTGCCAAGCATAACGACGAAATGTTACCATCGTCGAAAACAGTACAACGTTATCCATAGACTACTTCATGTACATGTACTGTGATTTGGCTTTTATATCTAGGTGTTTGTGTAAAAGAATCATGACGAATATGTGCTTCGAAAAGTCCCGATTGAACCCCAAATCACGCTCTGGCATGTGAATTCATGAAACAAACCGACCAGGCGATCGCTCGGGCGTACCCGTGGGATCCCCCGTGTAGGTTTTGAGACGTATGCCGCCGCCGCTGGGAGATTCAGACCGCAAACGTAAATCACACCAACGGGCCTCCGCTGTACTGACAACTACACAACTACAGCCGCTCCACTCCGATACACGATCCAACAACACACACGACAGGCACAGACAGGAGAGAGAAAAAAATCAGATCCTACTCACCGCTGTGAAAGAAGAAGTCAAACAGCAGGAAGACGACGAGAAGGTAAAAAATAAATAAATCACACGAAAGGGCCTCCACTGTACTGAAACCTACACAACTACTGCCGCTCCACTCCGATACACGATCCACACACACACACACACACACACACACACACACACACACACACGACAGGCACTGAAAGAAAAAATCAGATCCTACTCACCACTGTGAAAGAAGAAGTCGAACAGCAGGAAGACGACGAGAAGGCAGTGGTGAGAACGCAGAGTGAAGGCCCGTGAAGGTCCCATCGTTGTGAATGAACACTCCGTCCTTCCGTACCTACGGGAAGCCTTGCTTGCTTGGTGCCACACCACGAGTCTTTAGAGAACGACAAGCCCCGCTTTACTCTAACGTTCCCGGTACTCTTCCTTTACCGTGATCAGTAAAGCGTCGTTACCTACGGGAAGCCTTGCTTGGTGCCACACCATGAGTCTTTAGAAAACGACAGGCCCCGCTATACTCTAACGTTCCCGGTACTCTTCTTTTATCCTGATCAGGTTCAGAAAAGCGTCCTTACCTACGGGAAGCCTTGCATGGTGCCACGCAACCAGTCTTTAGAAACCGACAAGCCCTTCTGCTCTACTCTAACGTTCCCGGCACTCTTTTGACGTGGTTCAGGGAAGCGACAAGCGGGAAGTTTTTCTTCTTCTTCTTCTTTCCCCACGCACAGCAGAGTAAGTTGTAGCAGCAGCAGCGTACGTCGCCAGGCAGGTGCGTTTGTCTCGGCTTCGCGGAGAGCAGGAATCGGCCGGCTGCAGCAGCGGCGTTCGCGGCGCGAGCTCGGCTAGCTTCGCTCGTGTCCCGTCCCGCCCGAATCCGACGCGAAAATAAACGATTTGAACCCTGCCCACCGGCTTATCCCCCGGCTACTACCGTCCCGCTAATCACGCTAAATTAGTATGGACTGCGCAGGCCCGAGCCTCATTAGAAATCCCGGCGGGTTTTGTACCGTTGTCAATCAGGATGAACACACCAGGCTTATCTGACCCTTTCAGCTACCTCTCAGCTCAAATGATATTTAGCCTCGCCGTGTTCCACGTAATGGTGGAAGCGATAAAGGAGGAAAAAAAGGGCGAAAGATGACCCAGAAAATGAGGTTCCGCGTAGGGTAGGGAGTACTAGGGACTAGTGTTTGTTCTTCCCGTCATGTATGTGGAGCAACTCAATCGATGGACGATAGAGATGGGTCGGCATTAATTAGCCGCCGTGTTGTGGAGACCTGTACTGGATGGCTCCCCCGCTACAGTCTATGGAAAAGACGGGCGTGTGCATTAAAGAAGTTGGTTTAACGATAATAGGCGGGGTATTGGGCCCTTTATGTACCGTCGTATTCTCTTTCATTGCTCGGCGCTGCTCGGTGATTGTCAGCGAGAGGGCGATTTATGCTTCACGATGAAGAAAGATTTTCTCGAGCCGTAATCCAGAGTACATAGAGGAATTGTCGTGTATCATTCTAAGCGCCGAAATGGGTGATAATGCACGCTTTCGTAGTCGCCACGCCGGCGGAAAATCCCCCACGTTGTTCCAAGCGTCAAATGCGTGATAGATAGGCCGAGGGAACTTCGTTGTACGTTTAACGTCGCCCATTGACACAAAATCTGAATCCAAAGCAAAAACAATGTATCATATCGTAACACGTAATCTTATTTTTCAAATAACTTTGTTAGCATTAGCATTTTCTAATGTCTTGGGGTGGTGGGGCTATGGCGCACTGACATGTCAACTTTGCGTGTATAAATGTTAATCGTACTTTTTTCATTGTGTGGCGCTGTTAATATAGGTTATAAACTTGAGTGCAGCGTCACACTGTCCTTGTTATGTTTTGATGAGTAAAAAATGTATCATATCTGTTAATATTCTGAATCTGAATTGATGCAACAAAACCATGCAATCAGTCAACTGCCATTTTTGCCATATTTTTCACAGTGACTTGTCCATCGCTGTAAGCCCTTACCGAGTTGCATGAATTGTTCGGCAGCGTGTCCATTTTGACACTAGACAACGGAAGACACAGGTCAAGATCAATCATGAAAATAGCCCAAAATGACCCACTATAGAGAGCTACCAGAAACAAACACTAAAGTAGTATGCCTGCAAAGTAGACTGATGATGTACGTGAAAACCTGTAAATCTAACCTACCACACACTCCTGGGGCCTACGAACAAATATTGTGTTACTCGTTTCCTGACCGACCCAAGTAAAAATCCGCCGACATTTTTACGTGGTTGACCGCTAGCAACGCCATAAAATTAGCGGTGTGACATTTGAATTTTAAAGCCTATGAAACTTTATGTCACGCATTTGTGAAATCATTAACTTACTGGGTAAATCCGGTGAAATATCTGTCCCTTTTCTACATTGACTACAATCAAACGGAGGGGCGGTCCTCGTCCTCATGCATTTATTTTTATATTGTTAAACTGTAATTCCTAGTTCATTTCAGCCATTTTATCAAAGAATAAAGAGAATCCCTACGTACAGACCCTACTGTTTCTAGCACACAAATTGGAAACACAACGTCTACCTTTGACCCAACGTCTACCTCTGACCCAACGTCTACCTTTGACCCAGTGTTGACGTCAAAGACGCCATGTGACAAGCCTCACTGGGTCATTCTACTGAGGAGGACCAGAAAGCTCTAGGTTAGAGAATTTTTGTGTTGGATCTAAAGTTTAAACTCTGAACAGGAAACAAAGCAAGTTTTCCATAGGCCTAGTCGACATTTCCCGGCAGAACCTCTCATGTTGTCGGCGGAATTATCACCTGTGGCGCCTCGGCTGTTATCACAGACCCGGCGGCTTTCCTACCGCCTCTGTCGTCGGGCGCTTCATCCCCGGGCTTTCAAGGCAGCCAATGCTGTTTTTAGGGCTTGAAACCCCGATTTGTCAAAGCCAATATTCTAGTCATTCATCTACATAGTTGAAACCACACTGTTCCAATGTACATTGACCAAAAAATTCCCAAAATTTTGACGAAAAATGGTTAGTGAAAGTGCCCTGGGATGGTTTTTAGGGTACAACCCCAAAAATAAATGGCTTTAAAGGCATCCAGTTTTAGGGCTTGAAAACCCAATTTTTTAAGGCCAGTATTCCAGTCATTTATCTACATAGTGAGTTGAAACCACAGTGTCCTAATGTATATTGACCCTCATGGTGCAAAAAAGTCCAAAGTTCAGACGGAAAATGGTTACTGAAAGTGTCACTATCACAAAGATTGCTTCTTTCAGAATATTTACAGTTTTGCTGCTCTGAAATCGCATTGGATGCTTTTAACACACACCACTCAACTATTACACAACACAACACCGCATCATATTCCATTCCAAGGATTTAACACAAAACTCTTACACAACATATACACACCATATATTGCCTTATCCCCAGACTTAAACATACACAACACTCAACTCTTACAAAACGCCGTATCACACAGCTGATAAAGCCAGTCTGTCCACGCCCAGATGTGCGCCACGCTACGTGAGACTCTCGCCAAGAAGCGCCGTTAGCTTTGCTCACGATTTTAACGATAACGGGAGGCTCTTGAGTGACTTGTGTACTCTGATACGAGTTCCTTGAAAGCTTCCTTTGGCGGTTAAGAAAGTAATCTTCGTTTTCTGTTAAGGAGAGCGTCGTTCCATGCAGCACGTCGGTTTTGCTAAATGTAGAAGCCAGTGGCGAGACGCTTTATTGAACCTGTTTAGTACGAAACTTTGAATGAGCGTTAAATCATCTCAACAACATTAACAGTCATGAATAAGGAAGGTGAACCTTTGCAGAGAAAAATGAAAAGCCAACAACATTTATTCCTAAGGTGTTTTGGCAGTTTATTGAGACTCTATCATCAAATTTGAAATGGGGAATAAATCAATTCATCATCACAGCAACATAAACAGAAATAAAGTAAGAAGAAAGATTAAAATCTAAAATTCGGCATCATATATTTTAAGATATTTGTTTAGTTGTTTTGTCTACTTCTGTACCAAACGTTCAATGTAGGATGTATTGCCCAAATAACATCCACGGGAAGGTGAACATGTACAGGAAAAGATTTAACCACTTTTCAAAATCTTTTTGTATTTCGTCTCGAACAACAACTTTATAAAAATGACCAGCATTCATCCTTGTACTAACGGTATTGATAAAGTAAGCTATAATAATGCAAAGACAAATAGTTTAAACATCGACAGAGAAGATAAAACATTGAACAACATTCATCTTTGAGGTATTTTCGGATCTTCTTGTCAAATAAAAACCTAAAAACAAATGGCTAACACAAATCCATGGACATAAGACATCAAAAAGGTCAGCTAAAATTAGGCTCTTTGCAGGGAATCCCAGATGCCTTATAAAACGCATCACCAATAAACGCTATCAATAAAACTTAATCTGTCAATAAAGACAACTATATGGCCCCCCTTTACGATCCTTCCCCGTTGCACAATCAAACGCCTGTCAATAAACATCTATGAATAAAATCTAAACCATTAAAACCACAGGCCAGAATATGGCGGATTACTAAATCACTGCTTTCCTTATTACAGCATGATAAAGATAACGTTTACGCACTTAATTCGAAAATTCTAAAACACAGCAACTGAAGACGATTTTACTGCATATCCTGATCTATCAAATTAAAAAAAATTGTGAAATTATAACCGAAAAACACACAACCAAGGTTATAGCAAAAGAAGCAGCCCAACATCAGTGTCATCATGTTTTCCATGTAAAATACAAACATGTTGACACTTGAACATTAGTTGGCATTTAGTAGGAAAGGATAACACTACTGTAAAAATGAGCTCCTCTACATTTTGTTGACTCGATGTTACAAGCGGATCCTTAACCTCGCAGGCAATATATTTGACAAACGAGATGCTCCCGGTCAAAAGAGAGACAATACAAAAATCATTTCCAAGCTTGTGTCCTTAGGTGGTCAGTAGGCAGATTCACAACGGTCTACAATTGTATGGTGTCGTCCACGTGACTATTACATCAGCATTGTCAACCATATTGGATAATGAACCCTGAGATTATCAATGAATGTATGATAACAGTGATGTGGCTGTTGTATTATAGTCTTACACATTGATAGGCCTGTTCCTTCCCAGTTCAACTAATCAGATGTTGAATGGTGAAGAAAGGGGTTTATCGTGTGTGGTGGTTTAGCGTTTAGCACTTCCGTCTATAGAGAAAGAGACAATCAAAGATGAACACAGAAATCTGATCTCTCACCTCTTTGTCTGTTAGA